CCCCTTCTTCGTGCACGACACAATCGTGTAAATAACAAGAATGGATCCCAGCGCCAGATGCAGTATAGGCTTACCAACGTTCTGCCCAGATGCTTCAGATACCGACCGACCGTATTTAAAATAAATCTCAATATCTCGTGTTCCTGACCCTTTTCCCTCTCCTCTCACGCGTTCCTCTCCCCTACTGAACTGCTCCTGATCAACAATATTCGGCTCCCCCCCCCCCCAAAGTATGGATGCAGGCCGACGGCATGGCACTGCAGATGAATCTCACAATCCTGATTCCTTTGACGATGGATCCGAAGGTATCCCAGACGAACCGGGAGACGATTACCTCGCCGAGGACTGGAGAGGAGGTGCGACCAGACAGGGTAGTCTGAGCCGCCGAGGATGGCGAAGTGAGTGTTTTCGCATTTTCCCATCTTCTCTCTCCCCCCTCCCCCTTACAACGATTCCGATCGACCGAACAAGCACAGCTTCTGTCCGTTCAACCTTCGCTCCCTTCCTCCTCCTCGCTCCCCCCTTTTCCTAGGGAGGAGATGAGAGAGAGAGAGAGAGAGAGAGAGAGAGAGAGAGAGAGAAAGCGAGAGAGAGAGAGAGAAGAAGAAGAAGAAAGGAAGAATGAAAGTTGGCTAAACGCGATGACGATCCATCCTCCCAACCTGCAACCTAGACTGCTACTCTCGACTTTCAAATGCATTTGGGCAATTTAAGCCACCATCATTCAACCTAGACAGCTACCAGAGCGTGACCAGTGAAGATGATCACAAGTCCGAGACTGTGAGGACGACGGGAATGTTCGGCCCTATCCGAGACATTCTGTTCGCCTCCAAACTGAACCTCCTGCTGGTCTTTGTCCCCATCGGTGCGGCCGCTTCCTTGACCGACTTGCCTCCGTTGGCGATATTCACCACAAACTCCATCGCCATCATCCCACTCTCCGTTCTCCTTACCGATGCGACCGAGAGGATTGCCGCCGAGGCCGGCGAGACCGTCGGAGCTCTCCTCAACGTCAGCCTGGGAAACCTGGTGGAGTTGATTCTATTGTGAGACCTCCGTCACGATCCGTGTTCTCTCCTTCTCTTGACTCTCAGGCGTATTGCGTATACTGATACCCGACTCCGCAGCATGTATGTGCAACGGCTAGAATACCACTGCTAGACCTCGTGTCGACGCTCCGCAGTCGCTTACCGATACTCCTAGCATCGCCTTGGCCAACGGCCAGACCCGCGTTGTTGAATCGTCCATCCTGGGATCTATCCTCGTCAACATCCTCCTCATCCTCGGCTCGGCGCTCCTTGCCTGCAGCCTGAACGGCGCCGACAATTCCTACAACGCATCAGGCACCCCATTGCTGGGCAGCCTTCTCTTCGTGTCGGTCTTTGTCTTCATCATGCCGGTACGCTTCCCCCCCCCCCCCCCCCACACACACACACACCCGGCCCATGCAGATGCACTTGATGGTCTTGGGGCTGACGGCAGCAGACTACATTTCGCTACACATTCCAAGACGCACCGCAGGCCGACGACGCCACGCTGATGATGAGCCGGATCACCTCGTGCGCCGTGCTCTTCATCTACGTCCTGTACCTCATCCACGAGCTCAAGTCCTCGGGGTCACGCCACAGTGCATCTGGCCCACAGTCGGACGATGCCGAGGCCCACCGAAGGACGCCTGTCGTCCAGACCGTTGTCCAGCCGCCGACGCCGATCCAGGAAGAGCACCTCGTCTCCCCGCTGCTTCCCCCCCCTCGCACCATCAAATTTGCCGGAGACGAAGACGAGGAGGAAGAGCACGAGCCTCACCGCAGGCACCACCAGCCGAGGAGCCAGCCGAGCGACCCCGATTGGAGCAACGACGAGTTCACCATGGACGAATCATCCGACACCGGCGGACGGCAGGACATGCACGGCCCGAGAAACATGGCCTCGGCGTATCGCCGGGGCATGGTGGGGTCTCAGGGGGCCGGCGCCTCGCGGAATACCTCGCGGGCCTCGCTGTCCCTGAGCTCCGGGCCCGCCTATCTCGGCCGCAACTCGGCCGTGGACCCCCAGGCCAGGATGGCCTTCATGCGGTCCGGCCTGCCCACCATGCGCGCCATGAGGAGCAGCATGGACGACATCAGGCCGTCGCTCGCTTCTCTGCCCCCGAGGGTGAGGCGGAACACGACGGCCGAGAGGGTGTCGTCTGTGCTTGTGCTGATAGTCAGCTCGGCCCTGATGTCGATGAATGCCGAGTTCCTGGTGTCGACCATTGACGAGATCACCCACCAGGGCCACCTGTCCGAGGCCATGATCGGTCTCATCATCCTGCCCATCGTCGGGAACATGGCCGAATATGTCACGGTCGTCTCGGTGGCCGTCCGCGAGAAGCTGGACCTTGCCATTGCCGTCTCGGTCGGGTCCTCCATACAGATCGCCCTGGCTGTTGCGCCGCTCACCGTGCTGGCCGGGTGGATCATGGACCGCGACCTGTACCTCACCTTCAACTTGTTCGAGATGGCCATCCTGATCGGCACCGTGCTGCTGGTCAACATCATCATCCTCAGCGATAACGGTGGCGACTCGACATCCAACGCTCTGAGAGGAGGCCTGGTTTGTGCATGCTATGCCATCATATGGTGAGTGGCAATCTCCCCGAAACCGGAAGACGGCAAGACCGGATGGAACTAGCTAACAGTCACTCAAGCATCGGAGCCTTCCTCGCACCTTTATGACACCACTGAGACGTGTCGTCTTTTCTAATCATGGCGGATAAACAAGGCGTAGCACAGGGCCATGCCCCGGGACTCAAGGGAATGAGATATATATATACACAGGAAAGGGGTGTCTCAAGCATCGCATGCATTCTAAGGAAGGGTTTTTCTTCTTTTTTTCTTCTTTTTTTTCTCTTCTGAGCCTTGCTCACAGTTTCAAATTATACCAATTTTATCCTTATTTTCACTACGGTTTCCATAGCATCGTCACATCCTCTCACGCTCTTCTCTTCATCTGTCTTGGCTCGCAGGCGCGCAATCCATATGCATGTAAGTTGCCGTCTTTTTCTTTTCCACTCCTTTTTGCCTTATTCTACACTCGTCAGTAGGATTTTGGTCGAGCTCAGCATCTCTGTACCGGATCATCTACAGATAGACTGCAGAATGATACAGTACACGCAAATGCTCTTTCGGGCCTTATCATGCACGTATCTGCTGGGCCAACACCCGACGTAACTGTCTGCTTCGTCTTCGCGGCCGATCCGCTGCAATGCTACGTAAGAACCAGATAAGCGTTCCCTGGCTTGTCTTTGGTCAGATTGCCATCCATCTGATGGAGCCCACGGCCGAGTGCTTGATACGTTGAGCCTACATATAAGAAGAGTCTCTAGCTTCATCCGACACTTGATAAGCATCTTCAGGACTAAAGTCTCATTTCTCTGGCCTCATTCCTAGTATACTGACATCTTTGATAAGAGTCTTCGCTCATATATATAGACTATAGCCCTTGCCCTCTCCCATGATGCCAGACTCGCCCACCCGCGCGGCACCGTCAAAAACAGCCGGTGTCATACCAAGCTCGAATCCCTTGGGCGCTGATCCCACTACCGAAAATGCTTCTCTGCGAACCCGTCTGAAGCTCTGCTACACTATATTCGCAGTGCTCATCATAAAGTTCGCGCTCCTCGACGTGTTCCAACATGTCGGCGTCATCACTTCTGGGGGCGGTCCGGTATTCCGGTTCGTCAATCAATTTGGTCCTAGAAGATCTATCCTGTATGAGCCGGCGGTCACCATCACTGCGCCAAAGCTCAACGTCTGGGCCCCAATCACCTCCGATGATAACGTCGCGGTCTGGAACTGGCTTCACGATCCCGCCAGGGGCCTGAACCTCACAGAACCAGGCGAGGCCGAGATCGGCGACAATAAGGTCTACTCGATTGATACGCTGCCTCTGAATAAGTCGGACGTTGTCCTATTCCTGGATGGAATCGGCCCCAGACCCAAGCCCTGGGCTAGGGTCATGATCTTTGAGGGAGGAAAGGACGAACCCGTGGCCCAGGAATATATGGTCGGGCCGCTGCCGGTCAGCGACGACACCGACATTGTGCCGCTCGATTACATCTATAACGGAGGCATGGGCGGCGCAGTCCCTTACAACGCCCGGCCGATGGACCCGATCAGATCCACCGCTATTGGCAAGCTCGTGGGGTACCACATGGGAGCGATAGCTGACATCACGTCCGACCTCTTTCAAGGAGCGGCTTACTATGGCCCAGGTGACGAGAGGTCCACGATCGATACGGACTTTCCCACTCCCTTCTCATACAACGGCTCCGAGGCTCACGTCAACGTCGCCTTCCACTTCCCCGGCACAGCCCACTACCTACTCCCCATCGACTTCTACACGCTCGTCGACGCAAGCGCCATTGACTATGAAGAGTGGAGATTGAGGGGCTTCGTTACGAAGGAGCGCTTCTTCGCCACCGCAGATGAGCTCAGGGATGCCTATGAGGCTGGAGAGCTAGAGCAGGAATTCGAGCAACACCAGGACTACGATTGGGCTCGCGTCAAGTATCAGCCCGAGCTTGGTGAGAGGCCTCTGGAGAGCCGGCCTGCCCCGCAGAGTCTCGAGGTCGGCGGCAAGCGATACATGCTCGATCCCGATCAGAGGTACGTCGAGTACATGGGCTGGTCGTTCTACACAACGTTCAGCAAGAACCTCGGACTCATGTTCTATGACGTCCGGTTCAAGGGGGAGAGCATCCTGTACGAGCTGTCCATGCAAGAGGCCGCGTCTCAGTACGGGGGCTTCCAGCCCAAGGCTGGGTCCACGGTGTTCCAGGACACCTCCTTCAGCATGGGCGCCGCTGCCTCGCCGCTCATCGAGGGATTCGACTGTCCCTTTGGAAGCACCTTCTGGAACATCTCCCACTTTGCGACGAACCGCACCTTCACCATCCCCAGGGCCCTGTGCATCTTCGAGCACGACTCCGGCCACCCGTTGTCGAGGCATGACGCTGGGGAACACAATGGGTGGGGGTTTGAGAGCCTGGGCGTCGTCAAGAGCTCCGCGCTCTCCTTGCGGTACATTGCCACCATCGGAAACTACGACTACATCTTCACCTACGACTTCGCCCAGGACGGCGCCATCCACATCTCCGTCCGAGCGTCCGGCTACCTGCAATCTTCGCCCTACTACAAGGACCAGGGAAGGTTCGGCCCCCGTATCCAGAGGGCTACCCAGGGCTCCATCCACGATCACGTCATGACGTTCAAGGCCGATTTCGACCTGGTCGATTCCAACAACAGCCTCGAGAAGACGGAGCTCAAGGTCGTCGAACAGGAACAGCCCTGGTTTCCAGAAGTCGGAATCTTCGAGCAGATCCAGCTCGAGAAGAGCTTGTTCGACAGGGAACAGCAGTTCAACTGGGGAGCCAACGACCAGACCATGTACTCCGTCATCAACAGCAACAAGACCAACGTCTGGGGCGAGAAGCGCGGCTACCGCATCGCTCCCGGCATGTCCGATATCCGTCTCAGCACGACCAACTCCCCCTGGTCCCGCCACAACACCGCCTTCATGAAGTCGAACCTGGCCGTGACCCGCCAGCACGACACGGAGCAGTTCGCCAACAGCATCTACAATGCGCATCTTCCCGGGAGGCCGCACCACGACTTTGCAAAGTTCTTTGACGACGAGACCGTCGATGGCGAGGACCTTGTCGTCTGGTTCAACCTCGGCATGCACCACTTCACCAGGGCCGAGGACATCCCGGTGACGCTCTTCACCGAGGCCGTCAGCAGCATCAGCCTCGTTCCGCAGAACTTCTTCGATCGTGCTCAGGACGGGGATCTGAAGAATAGGCGGTGGTACCTCCCGGACACGGAGTCGGACACCCTCGACACGGAGGATTACGGTGTGGAGCTACCGTCATTGAACTTCAGGCTTGAGGAGCCTGAGGTGCCACGTCTCCAGGTAAGCGAGTGATACGATATGTCATATCGTTGACCTCTACGATGGGGTGATTAAATCATGCGACGCGCCCGGTCAATGTCGTGATGGACGCATGCCCTGGGGAGGAGGAATAGTATGACTCCACGGGTTGGGCTATTGCTTCTACTGCACGTGAGGTTTCGGGGTTTACGGAGGATTTCTATCAAGCTCGATCGAGGAGCGAAGTCGCGGATGTTGATAAATGCGGATATACCGGCCTCAACATCGGGCTTTTGCGGAGGCACACAGGGTCCACCCTATCAATGACCCGTTAAAGGCCGAACTCCGGGAAACGAGGAGCATTGAAACGTGGGAATGGAATGGATATAAATACTGCAAGCTACATCTTTGGAAAATGAAGACGAACGGCCCATGTCCTTGAAGAGTGGAACTCCAGTTGCTACAATACACAACATTAACCCGTCTTCGATCCCGGACATTGCTAAATCATACCGAAGAGTGCAAGCATGGCCGGCAAGTACGCCAAGGATCAGCCTGCGGGCTTTACCAACCGCATCGAGAGGGTCGCCATCATCGGCGTAAGTGCATACGACATATATACTTGTATCGGTGACGTGAGCCTGCTGGGTCTCTGCCTGCCGAGGGGCTCTTTTGCTGTTGTTCACATACGGGAGATTCCGACGGCTCGTCAAGAGCTGCTCACTGACAGGGGCATTCTTAGGCCGGAGGCCATATCGGCAGCCACCTGACGCGGGCTCTGGTGGCCACCGGCAAGCATAAGGTGACGGCACTCACCCGCAGAGAGAGCAAGAACGAGATCCCCTCGGGCACGACGAAGGTGTACATCGACTACGGCGATCCGGAGTCGATCGTGTCTGCTCTGCAGGGCCAGCAGTTTCTCATCCTGACGCTCAGCGTGTTCGGTCCGGCGGCCGACACGGCCGCCAAGGTGATCGCGGCGGCAGCCAAGGCGGGCGTGCCGTACGTGATGCCCAACGGGTTCGGGATCGACTTCAGCGACGACAAGTTTGCCGAGGAAGCCCTCTTAGGGGTCGGCGTGCGGGCGCAGATCAAGGAGGTCGAGGACCAGGGCGTGTCGAGGTGGGTAGCGCTGGTGTGCTCTTTCTGGTATGAGCACTCGCTGGCGCTGGGCGAGAGCTGGTTCGGCATCGACATCGACGACAGGACGGTGACGTTCCTGGACGACGGCAAGACGGCAATCAACTCGTCCACGTGGGAGCAGTGCGGGCGCGCCGTGGCCGCCTACCTCAGCCTGCCGGAGCTGCCAGCTGACGAGAGCGACGGAGGCCCGACGGTGTCGCGGTGGGCCGACAGGCCGCTGCGCATCTCGAGCTTCGTCGTCTCCCAGCGCGACATGCTCGACAGCCTCAACCGCGTGCTGGGAACCACCGATGCCGACTGGAAGATCACGCACGAGCCCACGCACGAGAGGTACCAGAAGAGGCTTGCCCTCATGGGAGAAGAGGGCCCCAACCTCGTCCGCGCAATGATAGGCGCCGCGTACACCCGCGCCTTCTACCCCAACGGTGACGGACAGTACAAGGACGACAACGAGGCCATCGGCTTGAAGGATGAGGACATTGACGACGCCACCAGGTCCGCACTTGCTCTGCTCAAGTCTGGGTACAAGGCCAGTGTCTTCAAAGGGGCTGGACTCTTGTAGTGACGGGTGGTGAGGAGGTCGTGGCGTACCGGGGCGGGACGGCGTCACATAGGCAGATGGAGAGAGATGATAGGGGGGGGTCCTTAGTATGGTCCCGATGGAACAAGCGTGCTGTATGCACAAGTTTATTCAGTTGATCGATGCGTCGTTGACATCTGCATCGCCGTCGTTGAAGGTGTTCGTACCTGACCTTGCCTTGTGTGAGACGGGAAAGTAGAGGGTGAAAAAAAAAAAAGAAGGCGGAGAGGGGTGGGAGAGTTAGCGAGCAGAAGAGGGAAGTATCTGATGGGTGATAGGCGATACGGAGTACCTCTCTCTAGTCATAATAGCCGAGAAGTTGTGCCAGGATTTTAGGCCTAGGCATCTCTATCGATCAACCGTGGCGGCCTCGATGCCCGTCCGTGACATTAAAGAGACAGAGAGGGAAAAGAAACGAGCAGTCGTTCTGCCCAGACCATGATGTCACAGAATGATGTCGACGGACTCGAAGTGCGGATCTGATTCCCCTCCTATCACGGAGGAACGAACACGCTCGACGCTCGATACTCACCATCCTAGCGAACGGCGCAACGGTATGGAGGGAATATTGAGGTTGACGATCGACGATGGAGCGAACCCCGGTAGGATTTCTTGGAGCGCGACTGGCCCGAGGTACCTGCACGGATACTAAACACGGATATGTATCCGTACGGAATTACAGTCTTAGCAGTCGTCGCCGTGGAATACCCGTTCAGGAATAAAGGCGGCGGGACTAGCCATTCCTGTCGGCATCGGAGGCGGGAGTAGGGAGCAAGGGAAGGCGGCCGGTTGGAAGATTGTCTTCCCCACAAGGACGGGACATATGCACGATACGGGCGTATTGCGACGAATAGACGCGGGCATATTAGATACGAAAAGGCACGGACCTATCACGACGAGCAAAGGAATATATGGATGATATGCTATTCATCGATCTCGACGATGTATTGCATCGGCTCGACAGGGACGTCGGTAGCGGACTCTCTTCCTCTCGCTGTCGCAACATGACGTTGGTGGTCATGGGACTAGAACTCTTGGGCCAAGAGACACGACGACTGGGAACGGGGGGG